GCTGCATCTGCTGCTGCGCTGCTGCGGTCTGTCCCTCTGCTCCTGTCTGTCCCTGTATGAATGTCTCTCCTCTTCTGCCCTTCGTGCCCGCTGCCCTCCAGACCACCGTCCGGCGGCCCAAGGTGAGCAGCTGCGGTCGGGGGGCACCGAGCGTCCCCCGCGCGTTACCCACCACCTCGCTGAGCGCTGGCCCCAAAGCGCGTGTTCTCTTCTCCTTCCATTTCACCCTGCTGAGCCCGGAGGAGCCCGCAGGAGGGATGTGCTCCTCTGGAGCGCGTCCGAATCCCGGGGGACAGCCCACCTGGGGCTTTGTGCCCTTAGCCAGAGCTCATCTAAGGGAGCGGGGCATAAAAGCAGTGCAGCACTGCCCGGGCTGGCTGGCAGGGCACACTGCCTGCTGTCCCCGCTACCGGCCCCGGGGCTCCTCCCCGGCGTTCCCCAGTTCACGGGGGGTTCCTTTCGGCGGGGTCTGCTGGAGGAGCGAGGTAAGAGCCAAGAGGCGTGAGCACGGAGAGCTGCTCCCGTTCCGAGGCCTGTCCCTGGGACTTGCCTCGCGAAGGGGCACGTGGTTGGGGAGAGCAAATGGGGAGATAAATCCTCGAAGAACTCTCCGATAGCCCAGTTACGGTCGCAAACAGGAAACCATTCTCTTTGCCTTCCACGTAGGGCTGCACCGCGGGGAGGGCTTCATTTTCACTGCACTGTGCGAGAGACTCCAACCGAGGCAGCAGCGGATTCGTTCCGTCCCAGGGCAGCTGGGATGCCAGCTGCCAGGCACCCAGCTTTCCCCTCTGAACAGTATCGCGCTGACTCGTTTTGGCACTGCCAGGCCAGCGCCCAGGCTGGGGCAGGACCTCCTGGGGGAGAAGAAAGTGTGGCAGAGCGTGCGAGCGCAGCGTGAGGAGAGCCCGCTGCTGCTTCTGTAGGGTGAAATTTCCCCTGAAGCGTCTCCTCCCCGAAGGCGGGAGCCAGCGGGGTTTTGCTGTGAGCCCAGGGGAGGCATCGGCAGCGAGGCGGAGAAGGGAGCTCACGGGGAGCGGCGTTCGTGTGCTGGTGTGGGTTCTGAGCCAGTCTCCAAGCCCAGCTGGGAGCTTACCCCTTACCAGGGCAAGTCCTGGAGAGCTCTCGGTGCATCCCGTGCCATTGCCCTTGCCTGGAATGGTGTTCTTGTTCTCCGCAGCCTGTGCTGGAGAGGAGCCGTGACCTCCTCCAGCTCCTCTGGCCTCACTGGGCAGGAATTAGATGGGGTCCAAGACGCCCCTGGATGGGTGTCGCTCAGAGCTGGTGCCGGTGGCGGCCCGCTGCTGTGGCTCCCTGCAGCGGGCAGGGCCCCTCTCAAGCCATGTGTCCTGTTCTGGTTGGGCTCACAGATGTGCCCACATCAGGGTCAGCTGCCAGGCCACTTTGGCACCTTGAACCTTCCTGGCTTCCTGGGAATGGATTTTCCTTCGGCACCGTTAGCCAAGGCTGCCCAGTAGCGGTGCAGAGGGCTCCAGGAGATGCCGTGCTGCATTTTGGCCCTTTCTGGAAGAAGGTGGGTCCCTTGGACCTTCCCTGACCCCGACTGCCAAGGCCAAGTCATGGGTCTCCAAAGGTTTCCAGCTCTTTGGGTGCGATGAGCAGTGGAACCGTACCCGATGTGTCCCTGGCAATGCTGCCGTGTCTCGTTCTGTGAAGGGATTTTAATCCCTAAAGCAGCAGGAACACAAACAACGTCCTCGTTTCGAGTAGTGTGTTTCTTGGAGATGGTGTGTGTGCGGCTCGGTGCCGGGGAGACTGTTCCCAGGCCGGGGACTGTTCTCCCGTCCCTGGGAGAGCCCGGGATGCTCCTGGGAGGGGAAGGCTGAGCTGCCTGCCCGGCCGTGGGGCGTTTCAGTGATTGTGGTCGAGTTAGCTGGGGTTTGTCTGCAGCGAGCCAGGAGTCGGCAGAGGATCCGGCGACGGCACGGCGAGTGATCGCCTGTTTCTGCATCCCACTGCAGCAGGAGCGGGACGTGGGCGCTGCGGGACATGGGTGCGTGTCTCAGCTGCATCCCAGTCCGTACCCGGCCAGCCTGGGGCAAGCCGTGCGCCTTCCAAAACTTCAGTGTGCCAAAAAGCCAGTCTCAAGGAATGAAATGGGAAGTAAGGAGATTGGTTTATGCAGCATTAGGTGGGGGAGTGCTCCAGAAATACAGGTCTGTGAGCAGAGCAACGGAGGTTTCTGATGGAGCTGGTGCTTTCCTCCAGACATCTTCCCTTGGTCACATCACCTGGGTGACACGCCAGGCTCCCAGCCAGCATGGCGACGCAGCACTCTGCTGCTCTGGCTCCTCCAGGCTGCACTGGTTTTTCCTGGATGCTGATCTTTCTTGCTGCTCTTTCATTTTCTTCTTCTGTTACCCTAAAGTTGGGTCCTTCCTCCCGCAGCTGCTGTAGTTGCAGATGGAGGGTGCAGACTCGGGTGCCTGCCGCAGCGTGTCCCCAGCAAGGTGCCAGTGGCACTGGTGCACGAGTGTGGGCACGTGGGCACAGCAGCACCTGACTCGGGCTCCTGCAAACGCTGAGCAGCAAATGTGCCCCGTCGTGTTTCCAGATGTGGAGGGTGGACAGGGATGCAACCTTTCCTGGTCCTCTCTCCGTGTGCTTTGAGGTTTTGCTGTCTCATCCTCTGGAGCTGGAACACCAAAACCTCTGAGTGTGTTTCCACTCTGCAGACACGACTGGGGACCCTCATCGGTCCCTTCCCTGATCCCCTCGACACGCTCGCCAGGACCGCGGGGATGAGCTGGCCGGGCCGAGGGGAGGCGGGGTGCCTGCAGCAGCGGAGGTGGATATAGCAGCACGAGGAAATAAATGGGGCACGGTTTGTAGGGAGAGGCAATCTTTTCTTGTCCCTGCTGCCGCGGGAGGGAGGAGGCTCCTGTGCTCAGGGAAAGATCCCTTTTGGGTTTTTGACTAGTCAGTGGTGTAATAAAACTTCACCTTTCCCTTCAACAACTGGTCATCTGTGAGTTTTGGCTGAGTCAGCCTCCTCCTGGAGCGGCGTAAGATCACAGCATCTACGCTGCCGGGGGTCTCTGCTGTAGCGCCGATCCTCGGCACGCCGCAGGTCCGGGCACAGCGAGGGCATGGATGTGCTCCATCTGTCAACTCCCCGCTGTCACCGAGCTCTCTGCTGGAACAGGGGGTTGAGCCTGACAGCCTGCTCCCAAGGGAAGCGCTGCCGTTGGGGCTGGGCTGCGGTCAGTCCCAGCTCCTCTCCGTCCCTATCCCTGCCAACCATGTCTGAGAGCCTAAAACCTCCAAAGTTTTACTCTGGCTTTCATCTCTGCTGTGAATGTGAGTCTGGGAGACAGCGGTTGGCTTGGCCAAACACCCAGGTGAACGGAAAACACGGTGGCTGCTTTTTAGGGAGATGGACCAGCCGTGGAGGTGTCATCTCCCGTGAGACGCGCTCGTCTGACTTTCTCCCTTGACTGTGTTGTTTTTGCAGCCCACCCGGACCCCCAACTCCGCAGCATCCAGCGGCACGGCCGGGCCCTCGGGCTCAGCCTCCGCCTCCGGCGGGGAGATGAGCAGCAGCGAGCCCAGCACGCCCGCTCAGACGCCGCTGGTGGCCCCGGTCATTCCGACTCCCTCCCTGACCTCTCCGGTGGCACCTCCGGTTCCCTCGCCCACGAAGGTAAGCTGCGGCCGGGCTAAGCCGTGCGCTCTGCCGGCACGGAGCGGGGGGGCTGGTATGGGGGGG